TTGTCCAAAACGAAGACCCTAGCAAAAAAGCACTCAAATCGGCTATTCTTGTTGTAGTTGATGTTTATTGCACATGCTTTGTGTGTAGTGAAAGTTAGAAATGATTTAAAGGCGATTTTAGGGGGGTCTTCGTTTTGGATATTTGGGGGGGTTTTGTCCAAAACGAAGACCCTAGCAAAAAAAGCCCCAAAATTGGCTATTCTTGTTGTAGTTGATGTTTTTTACACATGCTTTGTTTGTTCTGAAAGTTAGAAATGATTTAAAGGCGATTTTATGGGGGGTCTTCGTTTTGGACATAACGCACTTTTGGAATGATTTTGAATTGATTTTCTTGGGGTCTTCGTTTTTGGGTCTTAGGTCTTAGGTCTTCGTTTTATGCCCACCGTAATCTCTTATGACTGATGGCGATATTTTTTTTAAATAGCTGTAAATCCCTTCAAAATCACACACAGCAATGTTAAATAACATCAGCAACACATGAGATTAAGGTAAAATGTCTTTTATTAAAAAAAAAACAATTTTGAATCAAATGCTTTGCTTGGGTTGCCTGTGGTTCGACAAGTTTGTATGTCACAAGCACGGCACTTTGAGATTTTTCGACTGCCTGACGTTTAGTCCCCAGAACTAAACGTCAGGCAGTCTATTTTTTCTGTGAAAAGTCTTAACAGAACAATCCAGAAATGGAATAAAGACCGAAATAAGGGTCTGGGCTCAAGATTGGCTTTCTTTGACAAAAAGTTTCGATGGGTCCCCTCCCACAAGACAAAAAGAGCTAATATTCCAGTTATTAAATGTGGGTTTCCTGTGCTAAGATTCTGAAAATGGCGGAGCTAAACGATAAAATACTCTCTAATTCTTTGCCGTTTGTGTAATTTTATTTGAAATGTCACCTATTTTTATTATATTTTTTCGAAAATATCTCACTAGTTTCCGGAAACTAGGTGAACTAGTCTAAACCTGACCACAACAATTTATCATTGCCCCCAAGCAGCCAGATGGTGCAGTGACTTTAATTAGACCATTGTTTCTTCATTTTGAAGGGATAATGATTAGGATATTTCATCATCATCATCATCATCATAACTCTTCGCGCCAGTAGGCGCATAAGGCCTTAGGATATTTGATAGAAAGTTAATAATAATAATTGGTTCACAGTATAAATAGATAAAAAAAGTGTTTTATTTCGTTCAATAGCCACAGCAACACTAAGACAAACAAAGTATATCAAATGTATAAAGTGAGCAATACTTAGAATAGATGTCCTAATCAACTGCCTATCAAATATCCTAATCCTTATTCTTTCAAAATGAAGAAAGAATGGTCCAATTATAGTATTAGCCCTGCACCATTCACTGGATGCTTGGGGACATTGATAAATTTTTCTGCTAATGGTTGAATGTGGACGGTGAGGGTCAACCTCGTTCCAGTGTCTTATCCCTTCGCTTGGGGTCAGGCGGGAGAAGGCCCTGGCATCGGCTGGTCAAACACCCTAAAATTCTGGGTGTAATAAATTATCATAACATTACACATACATCGTCACTGTTTATTTTGAGTGCGTGGTAAGTCCTTGTAACGGTTTGAAATACCTGATTCAACTACAAGTATTTGCCTTCTAAAAACTTATAGATACTACAAAAGAATTATTCGAAGTATATTTTCAACGATAAACAAGTAGAACTGCTTTAACCTCAAAATAGATTCAAGACATCGGAAGTTTCGTTGTATTTTTAAAACTTAACGACCTGTTAAAGTTGGTCATGGTAAAGCGGTTTAGCCAGTAAGGGGTAATCACGTTCTTGTTGACAGATGCTTCACAATACTGATTCTCATGAAGAAAGGTTTTCACAGAAAATGCAATCAAAACTTTACTCGATTAAGCAAAAAAAAGACCCTGATCAGCTGTGGAGTCCTGCTTGTCTTAAAATCTGTCTCAAGAGCGTGTTTTCATCAGAAATCTTTCGTAATGTGTCAAAAAATCGTTTGGATAAATTATAAAAACAAAACTTTCTCTCAGTCAATCAAATTAGAGATGTCACTAGGTAATACCAGGGCCTTTTCCCGCCTGACCCCAAGCGAAGGGTTAAGGCCCTGGGAACGAGGTTGGGGGAGGGTCACGATATTTTACCCGTCTAATATCAGTAGAAAATTTCACTTCCCCACTATGGTTGGTCACCCTATTCCAATTACCTACTTTTCAATTTCCACCTCCCCTCCCCCAGCTAATTTTTACCCAAGACCTTATTTCGGTCTTTATTCCATTTACCTTGTGCTATTAATTGAAATTACAGTTGTTCCGACGACTTTTCACAAAAAAAGTCGACTGCTTGACGTTTATAGTTCTGGCAGTCGAAAAATCTCAAAGTGCCGTATGTTTGAAACTTGCCGAACAGTATTATTTCGGTCTTTATTGCATTACTCTTGTTGTATTGAAATTACGGTTGTTCCGACAATTTTTTAAGAAAATGTTCGGCTGCCTGACGTTTTGTCACTCCGAAAATAGATTTACAAAATTTTGAACATGCTAGAAGAAATGTAAAATTCTGTTGGGACATGAAAGATACATTTCTCTGTAAAATTTAGCATTTTGAAATACTTACAAATCGTTCCGTGTTGATTCAAATCACAGAAATTTTAGCATGGCCAGAAAATCCGAACATTTGAGCCCGCAATCGCAGCGGTACTTCGCATAAATGCATAAAAACATGAATGTAAATTTTACAAAGAAATGTATGGATCAAAAAAAACATTTGAGAATAACATTTCATCTGTTTTAATTGGAAAAATTCCATAGATGGATTCGTAAAGGGAAACCATTCTTGATTCCACTGTAGGAAATCCAAAGAAATCCAATATTGTTAACAGCGTCCATTTTGACAATATATTTTCCTTTCGTCGTCTCCCTTTGGCCTTGTATCTCATGGTGAAAATTCGCGAAGAAGCGAAATTTCACCGTGGCTGATCGTGTTCCTTTACATTTCACTGAAATTCCATAGATCACTTCTCAAAGTCCACATATTGAAGTAGGAACACAGCGATTTTCCGCTATTTTGAAGACGATCAACAGCGTCCATTTTGGTACTAGAAATCGTACAAAAACTAACTTGACGGTGAAATGGCTGGCGAAGACGCGTGTTTCACGCGAATAATTGGCCTCGATCTTCCATTTTCTTTTCATTTTNGTAGTAAGTCACCGTATAGAACTGCACCATGATAGTACCGAAGATATAACTTCACACTCGCTGATCGTCCCTGTTATAATCTCACACAAGCACGACCCGAAAAGGGAACTCTTGGTCTACGCACTACTAGACGAACAGTCCGACGCGTGCTTTGTGAAGGACTCAACACTAAAGAAAATAGGCGTCGACGGCCCAAGAGTGTACATTCAACTATCGACAGTACTTGGAAAACAAACCATCAAAAGTAAGAGGATCACAGGCCTCATCGTCAAAGGCGCGAGGGAAAGTAAAGAAATTCGTCTTCCTAAAAGCTACGCTAGAGACATCATCCCGGCAAAGAGAAGTCAAATTCCTAGACCAGAAACAGCGTTGAAATGGCCTCATCTTAGAAGAATCGCGAATGACCTAATGCCATACAGAGACGATGTGGAAATCGGGATTCTSATAGGACTCAATTGCGCAGCCGCCATCAAACCACGTGAAGTCATTCCAGGGAACGACMATGATCCATACGCWAAGAGGACAGCGCTCGGATGGGGTATAATCGGAGTWGTGAACAACAAAGCACACGAYATCGACYACGACCAAGACGACTCGGTCATTCATAAGCAAGTGCAGACTACCAAAGAGGAGAAGAGATGTCACTTCGCCGTGATACAACAAACCAAAGAGATCCTCAACCCTCAKCAAGTCTTCAAAATGTTTGAGTTAGACTTCAGCGAGCGAGAAAGGGACGAGAAATCGCTCTCTTTTGAAGAYAAAAGATTCCTTAAAACTATGTCTGAAAAGGTACACCAGCTTAAAGATGGGCACTATGAAATGYCGCTGCCATTCAAAAGAGACCGTGTTCTCCTGGAAAATAACATCGACGTTGCTATGAAACGSCTAATGCAGTTAAAGAAGAGATTGCAGAACGACCCACAATATCGTGAAGACTATGTAACCTTCATGAGCAACATCATCACCAACGGTCACGCAGAAGAAAYACCTAAGGGCAAGACAAAACCCGCCAGTGGCAGTGTTTGGTACATACCACACCACGGTGTGTACCACCCACAAAAACCCGGCAAAATTCGCRTCGTGTTCGACTGCAGTGCCATGCACAAGGGTCAGTCCCTCAACCAACAGCTAATGCAAGGACCCGATCTAACCAACAGCCTGGTCGGTGTTTTGTGCAGATTCCGTCTTGAGCCAGTAGCTTTCATGTGCGACATTGAAAAAATGTTCTTTCAAGTAAAGGTTAACGCAGAGTGTCGTGACTATCTAAGATTCCTTTGGTGGGAAGATGGCGATGTCAACAGCGAACCTAAGGAGTTCAGAATGACTGTGCATTTGTTTGGTGCTGTGTCCTCTCCAGGATGCGCTAATTTCGCTCTGAAGAAAACCGCCGATGATTTCAGAGATGAGCTGGGCAGCGAAGCATCACATTTCATAAAGCAAGACTTCTACGTTGACGACGGTTTGAAATCAGTTCCAACAACGCAGGATGCCATCCGACTCATCGATGACACAAAGAATTTATGTAAGAAGGGTGGATTCCGTTTACACAAGTTCGTTTCCAACTCCAAAGAAGTGATCGATTCTATTCCCAAAGGTGAAAGAGCAGAAGGCAAAAGGAATCTTGACGCTGATAAAGATAACCTATCTATAGAACGAGCCTTAGGAGTACAATGGTGCGTGGAATCTGACACGTTCCAGTTCCGGATAACACTGAAAGACCGACCATTCACAAGGAGGGGAATATTGGCTACAGTAAGCTCAGTGTTCGACCCCCTTGGAATGGTCTCTCCCGTGATACTGCAAGGAAAGAGAATCCTCCAAACCCTATGTCAACATGGCGTAGAGTGGGATGAACGAATTCCTGATGACCTAAGACCAAAGTGGGAAAGATGGAGATCAGAACTCATCTCCCTGACAGAGCTCAAGATTAACAGGTGCCACAAGCCTCCTCATTTTGAGCCCATTAAAGCAGCAGAGTTACATCATTTCT